CGGAACTGTTCGGCGGTGTATGTGTCGCCGATGGTGCCGCGTCGACGGTCGGCGCAATTACTGTCGACAGAACAATACGGCGGTAGGATTATTAGGGCGATGGGAACAAATCGTCACCGACTAGAAAACGGCGCTGGATGCCAACTTACTTGATGTCCCTCTGGTTTTTGGTGCGGACCATGACCCGCACCTCCGACCGGACAACCGAGATTTCTCGCATGATGCCCAACTCCTTCTCCTTGTACAGCGTCGCTTCCACCCTCGCCGCCATCTGGCATGCCTTGATGCGGCCGAGGATCATGTGCACCGTGTAGGACGGCACCGGCGCGTTCGTCTCGGCGTCGATCTTGAACTCCCGCCTCATGAACTTGACGTAGGCGCGCAGCCGCGTCGGAGTGACCTTGGGGCCGTGCAGCCAGATGTGCTTCCGTTTGACCACCTTCGGGTTGTCCCAATCCTTGCTCTTGTTGCAGTGGATCCAGTGCCCGATCTCGTCGACGTGCCTAGTTCGTTCCCCGATCGGCAGCTTGTCGCCTATCTCTTTGAGCATCTTCGCGGCCCACCTCTTGTAGTGGTAGATCCATGAGATGTAGGACTGGAGCGTGCTCTTAGCCTCGATGGTTTTCAGGTGGCGCAATGCCTCCATCACGAGCACGTCGACGCACGCGTACACCATATCTTCCTCTACGAAGTCGGCCGCCTTCCACTGTTCTCGAGGGACCGACGTGTTCATCAGATCCTCGAGCTCGTCCTCGTCCAGAAGTTCCTCGATGAACGCACGTTCCCCCCTGAGCTTTTCTTCCAACGTGCGCGGACCTGGGCCACGTCGGGGCCGCGCGTCGGCTTCGTCGTCCTCGTCGCTCGCCGAGGAGTACCCTAAACCCTGGTCGCCCGCTACGTCCGGCCCGCTACGTCCGGCACCCTTGCTTAGCAAAGTTCTAGAGAACTCATCACACTAGTCCATAAATATTGCCGTTCACATTGCCCAAAAGAATGACCAAGAAATAACCCGTCCCAAGAGTCATCCTGTCCTCGTCATCTTTTTGTTCCCACGCATCAGCGTCACCACTGTTCCCGCTCCCTCGGGTTTGCCGCATCTCGCCTGACCACCTCCTTCCCACCAACCCAAGCCATCATCACCGCCCCCACCCGGGAGCAGAACACGATCGGTCGTGATGTACTAAGTGCGGTACTGTATGTTTCCAGAACGGTACCTCTCGTTATGGGGAAAGTTGGCCACCTAACGAAAATCGTGGAGCGGAACCCTAATATTCAAATGGTTGACTCATATTTACGTTCTCATTCTGCGTGTTCTTTTTTAGTTCCGGTTTCTACGCGTCTTTTATCATCCAGACTTGACTTCGCGCTTTCGGTTTCGCATGCATTTCAATAGTGCGGTCTTTACGTATTTATACTTGCCGCTCGACACTAGTGCTAGAGGGTCTTCAGTTCTTTAGTGCCATCCCTGACATCAGCTTTCGAAAGACCGACCTTCATTTACTCGGCTTCGTTTTCTAAGTGCGTCGTCGCCATCACCGTCGCTACTTGTTAGGTCGGGCTACGCAGTTACCACTTCCGTTGCTTCGTGTTCTTCGCCCAGCGGCATGGACATCGCGGGCGTGAGACATTGACACACCCTCGGTTCCTTTCAGGTACCTACCTACGCGCCTTTATCTCCCGTGTCTGTTTCTCGAGCTGCGAAATATGCAATAAGATCATGAAGAATAAGAGTACGAGGCTGAAAATAAAAAGCGGAGCACATTTCCTCCCTTCGGCTTGCCCCACATTCCCGTTCGTACAAGCATTGAAAATTTGACGAAATACAGCTGTTACTGTCAGGCTGGGTTGACCGAACCAGCCGCGTGGCTGTATAATGATATTTTTCTGTATTACGAGGTTCCTGTAGCCACTTGCCTAACTGCAGAACGAGTTGTTCTTGTAACGGGAGACCAAACGGTATTCTTGGCTATCTTGACGGATAGTTTCTGTGCTACGCGATTGACTTGGCGAGCCGTCCAGCTGCATTGCAATTTCGAGGCTGCTGTCGCATGGTCCAATCCTGTCGCACAGTCGACTTCTGCTGTCGCATGGCCCAATCCTGTCGCACGGCCGACTTCTGCTGTCGCACTGGAAACGCTGCCATCGTTTCGGATTAAAACACGCGAATACCCAGCTACATTTGCGGTCCCAATCGGGCCAGGCCTCAAGCCCCCTCGAAGCCGCTTCTTATCCCAAACCCCCTTGCTGGCGCACGCCTTGTAGCGTACTCGTGCTTCTATCCATTAAAGGTCTCGCTCGGTTCCCTGCATCAGGAAATCCCGTCTATGTTCTCTACATGGGGACGTCTCTTCTTGGTTCGTTGCATCGCGAGGTCTCGTCTTGGTGCTCTGTATGGGGGGTTCTCGCTTTGCTTGTCTTCCGTCAATCGGCTCGCGTCCCTTTCCCGCACTATACACGCCAATCGGCGTGTAGTTTTGAGGCGCCTCGAGACTAGACTTCCGTAGTCGGCTCGTGTCGCTTTCCCGCACGATACAGCCCAACCCGTGTGCGGGCATCTCCCCATACGTTCGTCCCCCTCCGCCTCTTCATGTTTCCCCTTTAGTCTCCCTCCATTCGTCCTCTCCCGCCCTCCCATCCCCCCCTCCTCCTTAAGTCATCTTATCCTCTCCCCTCCTCCCCTCCTGCCCCTCTTCTCCTCCTTCCTCTCCTTCCATTCTCTCCCCTCGGTCTTTCTACATTCCGTCTTTCATGGCGTCCTGTCCCACCCCTTTCCTCTACTCCTCATACTTCATCCTTTTCCTTCTTGCTCTTCTTTCCCCCTCCTCTCGTCCCCCCTTCGCCCGTCCTTCCCTCCTCTCCCGCCCTCGCATCTCCTCCTTCCCTCCTCTCCCATCCTCCCATCCTTTTCTCTCCTTCCCTCTCCCCTCCTCTGGTCCGCTCCCCTTCTTCCTTCCTCCCTCTCCGTCCATCCTCTCCCGTCCTCCCATTTACTCCCCTCAGTCCCTCCTCTAACATCCTCCTCTCCCCCCCCCTCCCCAACCCACTCGTTTCCTCCTCCTTCCCTCCTTCCTTCTTCTCCACTCCTTTCCCCTCTCCCTCCTCCGATCCTCCCTCTTCCTTCCCCTCCTCAGGTATCGAGTCCCACAGAGATACTAACCCCCCACCCCAGGTATGGAGTTTCCGCAGGGATGTTAACCCCCCACCCCAGGTATTGAGTTTCCCCAGGGATGTTAACCCCCCACCCCAGGTATTGAGTTTCCCCAGGGATGTTAACCCCCCACCCCAGGTATTGAGTTTCCCCAGGGATGTTAACCCCCCACCCCAGGCATGGAGTTTCCCCAGGGATGTTAACCCCCCACCCCAGGTATTGAGTTTCTTCCAGGATATTAACCCCCCACTCCGGGTATTGAGCCCCTTCGGGCTATTGAGCTCCCCCAGAACATTCAACCCCCCCCTGTCCCTCGTTTCTTCCTTCCACTTTCCTCCTCCGCGCTCCCCTTTCATCTATTGAAGCAGACGACAGTTAAATTTGTGTTTTCCCTCCTTATAGTCATGCATGGCTTTTCAACTCTTCTGGTGTACTTTTCCCGTGTCCGCTCCCTCCCCAGCCCTTTTCGCCTGATTCCCTACCGTCTGTTCTCCCACGGCCCGTTTCCCCACTTCTTGTTCCCCCACCGCCCGTCCCCCACCCTTTTTTTCCCTCACTGATTTTTCCTCCACCACCCGTTCCCTCACCGCGTTTTCACCCACCTCTTTTCCCCCCCTCCGCCCATTTTCGCACTGCCCGTGTAACCACCCTGTCTGTATCGCCTCCCTGCTGTTCGTCTCTCATTGCATTTTTCTCATTGACCTGTTCCCGTTTCTCTTTCGTTTCCCCTTCCTCCCTCTGTTTATTCTTGTTTTGTCTGAATCCCATCCTTCCCTTCTGAGATGGCCTTTACAACCAACCACCAACTACTGCTTATTTCCCTTCTCTTCTTCTCCCCTCCCTCCCTCCCTCCCATCCCTCCCTCCCGCTGTTCACCGCTCTCCTCTTCTCCAAACCCCTTCCCTCCTTCCCTTCTCAGATGGCCTCTTCTACCAACCACCAACTACTGCTAACGAGCTTCTCTTTCCTCTAAACCGCACTCAACCACGGATTATCGTGCCACCACCTCATCCAACCTTTTCATCTGAGCCTTCAACCCACCGAGCCTCTCAAACAGAGAAGCAAACCTCTACCCAAGCAGCAGCACCCTCAAGTGAGCCTCATACTCCACTGAACTTGCATCGCCCTTGAACCAGCATCTCAAATTTTCCTCCCTGCACGCTCTACAACCGTTCAGCTGCTCCCACTGTAGCCATGGGCTGCGCGATCAGCATCTCAGCAGACGAAAAAAAAGGAAAGGAGGCCAAAAGTGGCGACGCTCCTCCTGCTGCTCCTCCTGCAAAGCCAGCTGTCACCTTCACCCCCATTGATCGCTCCATGCCTCCCATCGTGTCTGGAGAGGTGCTTTCGATGCCCCAGACCAGAAAACCCATGGAGTCGATATATGAGCCCAAGGAGGGGTAAGATCACATGCGTGTGTATGTGTGTCTGAGTGGGTGTAAGTTGGTTGGACCGAACATGGCAAGTGGGAAATATGAGATGCATTTGGGTCTAAGGGTTGAGTTGCTGGGTGATGTTGCGGTGAAATATTATACCAGCAATTACAATTAGGGTTTGGGACTCACCTGCCCCTTCTTAGGATGTTGTTGACAGGGTGAACGAGCGAATGTGTGCTTGAAGTGCAACAATACAGTAGATACTTAGGAGCTTGTGTAGCTCTATTGCATGCTTGGATTACACTAGACCTCATTTGTAGTTAGACCATTTTTAGTCAGCTTTCAATATTGAACTGTCTGTACCTTCGTAAGCTTGGTGTGCAGTATTTGAGAGCAGGATGTCATTACTTTTTTTTTTTACAAATTAATAAATGAATGGACAGAGGCACAACAACTGTGCAATCTACCAAAAACACCTAGGCATTCTCGAGGGTCAGGAATCTGCCCCAAGCCTGCTTAGCAGCGTGAGCTTCCTCATGCTTAGCAGTCACAACCGGCATGAGCAGCTTTATGAGCCTAACAGCCTCCTTAGCTGCTGACTCACCCTCCCCATACCTCTCCTCTAATTCCTTCACACTAGCTTTCAACCCTGCAACTTTATTTGCTAGCCTTTCCCTCTCCGCCATTGCATCTTTCAAACCTGGCAATCTTTCCAAAACTAACGCCTCAGCTCGTTGCACCTTCTGGCGCATTGCTCCTGCCAATCTCTCCGCCTGAGCCTTCACCCGTTCAGCCTCCTCTCGCCGAATCCGTGCTTGCAAGGTCTGCGTCGCCGCCTCAACACTCATGGCTCTCCGCAAATCTTCCTCCGCCTCGTGCAAAATCCTCGCCTGTTCCTCGGCCATTTTCCGTGCGTCCGCCAGCTCAGCTTTCGCCTGCTCCACGTCTTTCTCGCCTTCCTTCACCTGGGAAGCCGCAAACTCCGCATCGCCTTCCGCAAATTCCAGCTCGTCACGCAGTCTCCTCAAGCTCTTTATCTCCTCTGATGCCCGACTTTCAGCTCGGAGGCTCTCCAGCAATCCCCGAGCCACAGTCTCCTCTGCGTCTGCCGATGCAATCTTCTCCGCAGCTTCGCTCGACTTGCGCAGCTTCTCCCGTGAAATCTCATCTTCGGATCCGTTTTCAGCATTTGCCCACCCTTCCCCATGGGGAGCTTCGACTTCCGCAAGATAAGGGTCGTCGCTGCTGCTCCTAAGCCGCACCGTACGATTCTTCTTCTGACTGTATGGAAGCCCGTTGGATGAAGGGTTGTCACCTGAATACTCCGACGCGTTATTGGCCTGTTCGTTATTATTGTTTCCGCCACCATTCTCCGCGCCATCTGCGACTGAACCCAAAGCGACTCGTGGCGCGCCACGAGTTTCATTCCGGCTCGTTGAGGACGGCGTTTGCACGATTCCGAGGATGGCGCGCTCCGCTTCAGGGAAGGATTTCATCGCGCGTTTGAACACCGCGAGATAATCTCGCAACGTCGCGTTGGTGATTTTCTCCGCTTCCGTCGCCTGCGGAAGCCGCTGCTGCCATGCTTTAACTATCTCGTCGCGACACGTCACCGCGATGCTGTACGACGCCACTTTGTCGCGCAGTCGCAGCACCTTCCGTGCGAGCTTCGCAAACACCCGCTGGGCGACGAGTTTCGCCTCGCCCGCTGCTACGACAGACAGCCGGACGTCCTCCGAGTCGCGCTCGTACATCCGCTGAGCGGTTTCGTCGACCATCGCGGAAAGCTCGTCGATGACTTTCCGCTGCTGCTCGAGGCGCGCTGAAGTCAGCTTGAGCTTCTCCCGCGCTCGCAGCGCGTCCTGAATCTTCCCGTTCGCGTCGTTGATGCTGTCGTTGAGCGACCGGAACTCGCGGAGCAGCGCGAGCGCGTGCCGCCTCGCTTCCACGGCCCGCGCTTTCCGCGCGACGAGTTCCGACAGGAGAACGGCCTTTTCTGTGGTGTCCGCATCGCCTGGATTGAATAATCCCGAAATATTAATCGTCGTGGTTGGGATTTTTTGAGACGCGGCTTCGTTTGTGGTCGATACCATCATGTTGTCATGTGGTCGAGAGGACGCAGGTACGAGGCAGCATGTAGAGGCGACGGTGAGTAATAAAATCATAAGTGGTTGTTTGTTGACGGCGCGAAAAGATTGTCGGCGAAAATGTTGTCGGTGCGAGGTGTCCATCCTTCCGAGAAGTAATATTCGCAGCGAATGCATCGTATGTGTCAGCATAGATAGTAATAATCTCAGCAGCACTCTAGCTCAAAAGACTTACTTCCGAAGCAGAACAATAGCTGCTGTTAGCTTAGTTGTAGCCTCAGTACGGGACTGGAAGTGCGACGCGGAGAGAAAGGGTAGCTCTGAATTCTGCAAGCTGATCGAGAATGAAATGCTTTACTCATCGTAGTACAATTTTTTGTGAGGAGGAGGCGCTCTGCAAGACGTACCTTTTTGGCTTCGAGTTCCCTTCCGCAACCGACATAGCCACGCTTGAGAGGTGTGGTACTGTTGTTTACCCAACAGTACAACAGGGCGGTTGGAGTGATAGCCAGTGTGACCGACCCGACGCGTTCCGGTCCCCCCAGTGGGGTCGGTGGGAAAGGTTGCACTCGGAACAGAGTGCACAGGATGCAGGGGAAGGGAGTGGAAGCGGGGCGAGCCACATGGAAGTGTTGGAAGGAGGTGGGTGAGTGTGGGAACCCTATGGGTAAACCGAAGTACGGTACGGGGACAGTAAAAACGACATGTTCCATGTTCGTTCGGGCTGAAAAGGCCCGCGACAATTTGGCATTTTCTGGGGAAGTTATTCTCCTGTCTTGAAATATCTTCGGAGGAGTATGGGAAACCTCAGGGTGCAAGCCGTAGTATTTATCGGCTGGCGAAACGACTAGCCCCATGTTCCGGTGCAAAGCTGGACGGGTTTCATTCGCCTTGGAGGAAAAGCATGCTCTTTGACGGAATGACTGGGGGGGAACCCTTGGCTTTTCGGGGGTAGGGGTTTTTGGGAACAACTGTACACAAGGTCATCGCCACCTGTCATTGAGTTGGTGAATCGAAAGTTTTCGAGTGAAAACTGGTGCTCAAACCATTCACCCTCCATCGTGTCAGACATCAGGTCTGACCTGTCGAGCGCCACTTCGGATCCGCCGAGATTCAATTTGGGTCACCGTCACCGCTTTGCCCCGAGCCTCCCACTGGGGACTTGGAACGTCCAACCTCGTTTGAACCGAGCTTCAAATGGGTCTATGGCGTATTCCTGACTTTGTGTCAAGAAGCAGTTGGTGTCAACCTATAACTTTGGAGCGCACGTGATTGGCCAGTTGTGATTTTTCAACCAATCGCATGCGTTCTAAGATTCTAGTTTGACAAAAATACAGCTTGACACGAGGCCAGGAATACGCCGTGACACGATCCCCAAATGTGAATGGGGTGAAGATTTCGCGGCATCCTGGTTGAAGTGAATGGGTTGAACGGAGTGTATGCAATCACTCAAAGTGAATGGTATAGCTTCTATTCCTAGAAATTGAGTACGCGTCCTGGTTAATTAATATACACAATGTCCCTGCTTCATTTTTTAAGAGTAGTGGGCGTTAATATCAATGAATCTGACTGAACATTCGGTCTTGTTTTTTAGGAATGCCTTAGAATCTCAAACCTAAGCGAATCAGGACTAAAACCCCAAACAAAAATCTGCATCCAATGCCATCTACAGTCGCGTGTCGACAATACGTGCTCACATTGGGAGTGGATATACCTCAACCTCGTTGACCCAGCGAGTCTAAACAATTGGGGAGGCGGGTTACGACTGACAGCCAGGTGTGGGTAAAAGGTGGATGAAAGCAAATTTGTTGAGCTTGAATAATTACTCCCTAGGGGGGCATCCAGACTTTGTTGACGAAGTTATTGATACGTTTATGTGTTGTTATCGTGGTACACTTCTCGTCCGCTTTCCCTGCTGCGGCACCTGCGCCAACAACAACAAACACAAGAAAGTGTTTGACCAGGTTGATTGCGCATGTGAGGAAAGGCGCCACGAGCTTTCACCTGAATTTCACCATTTGGGACTCCGATTGGTTTCCGTGCTGTGCGGCGGCGATTCATCAACCAATGAATGCTGGAAAATGATGCTTTAGGTTGCCCGGACAATAAAACAATCTCCAGAATTTAGTGTATTTCTAGGTGTTCAGCGCTTGCAGAATTCAAAGGGCGGGGTGTAGTGGAAAGCCCAGAGCGCGCCCAACTTCGTCCTTATTTCGCGCTGGTGTTTGCAGAAACAATTTAGGCGAGGATGCGAACATTTTCTATATTTATATCCTCAACATATCATGCGCGCTATGGTCTCCTTTCCCGCCAGGTTGCCCGTCAAGTCCGCCCATCTGAATCTCGTGCCGCATTCTCCTTGTCACCCAAGGACATTTCCTGGAACCGAATTGTAATGTTGTGCACGTTCTATTAAAATATTGGTACCGTACCGAAAGGTCTGGTAAACTCCTCATAATCCGCCACCACTTCCTCAGCTTTCCATGCCTGCCGAGGGTAAATTCCACTTGATTGGTGATCGATATTTCAGGTTTCCGTTCCGTCGCGACCTCATCACAGTCAATCTCCTCTTCTACCCTTTCCTCTACCCTACTCTCTTTACCTCCGCTCTCTCCTCTTCCCCACATTTGGTGCCCCTTACCCCACTCCCTTCTTGCCCACCTCGGCATCTCCGCGCAGCGATTCTCGCCGCGCGGCTGAACGGATCCTAAGTGGTTGGCACCACGGGCGACGTTAACGCCACCGGCCGAATCTGCCTCGCCGTCTTCTAGTAAGCCAACCGCCCGTGATGATTCCGCTTTCCAAAAATGGAAACCTCTACTCCATTTGGTTCTCAAACTCAACAAACACTGCTCCATGTTTCAAATCATCTCGATTGTTCGACTGCTCCGCATCATCTTCCGGATAACGCTTCCATCTCGCTGATCAAATGCGCGTTCCATTCCTCCCTTGCGCTTCCGTTTCGAATCTTCTTCAATCGCCTCCTTTTTGAAAACCGTCTGGCTAGACGGTGACTACAGCGTCCCATTCCTCCCTCCCGTTCTTTGAGTCAACCCTAACGGAATCCATTAGGCTAGACGGTGACTACAGCGTCCCATTCCTCCCTCCCGTTCTTTGTGTCAACCCTAACGGAATCCATTAGGCTAGACGGAGACTACAGCGTCCCATTCCTCCCTCCCGTTCTTTGTGTCAACCCTAATGGAATCCATTAGGCTAGACGGTAACTACAGCGTCTTCTACAGTGTCGTCGTCTCCGCCTCCGACGTCAGCGAGCCGACCGTCGTTTCCATCTGGCAGGGCGCGGCGGGAGACATAGGAATCTCCGTTGAAACCATTGCCTTTGCGGAAAAAAACGCCACGTGGGCTAACCTTACTCGTCCGCCGCCTCCCCCGCCCAAGGGCAAGAAGAACAAAGGCACACCGCCCGCGCCGCCTCCTCTGAGATGCACTTATGCTACTAACGGGACATGGCTTAAAGCGAGTACGGTGCCCACGTTCGGCGGGCAGACACTAAAGGAGCTGGTGGATGCCATTATAGCGAAGCCGGATGGGTACTACGCGTCATTTGCGACGGCTGCTTATGAGTAGGCGGCAGCGAGAGGGCAGTTTAAGTCGGAGCCGCTTCCGCCGCCTCCTAGATTGACGGGAAGAATGGAGGGGATAGTGGAGGGGGCAGGAATGGAGGCGATATGGGCGGGTTTTTCGGCACTGCTGTTGGTAAGAAGTATTTCCCGCTTCTATCCTTCTCGTCCTCTCATCCCTTCCGCCATCGATAATGCTCACGGATTAGCCACGCACCATGTCTCCTCGCTTCGCTCTTTTTCAAGCATTCTTTGCGAAGATTCACTCTACAACGGTAGTGAGCTAGACTACAGAGGATTGGCACGAACTACTATGAGTGATCGTAGCTTTGCTTAGTTCCTTAGTGCTTGCACATTCACGGGAGAAATTGGCAAGAGTTTCCACTAGCAAAGTTGGAATTACAGAATGATTGAGTTCACAATGACAAGAATGACTACATCAGGCACCTAGCAACCCTGCAGCACAGCTCGGTCGACCGCCTGCCAGCGTTGCGTAGAGGAGCCGCGCCAGCACTGCAGAAGAGCGACCTGCCAACGCTGCAGCAGAGCGGCTGTCCAGCGTTGCCCCGTAGAAGACAGCAATGCGCATGCTCACAGGTGCGCGCAGACGATTGGCCCGACTTGCCTCGTTGGGCATCCGTCGGCTGTTGTCTGCGCCTGACGAGCCACATCGACTTCGGGATACCATTCCGAAGTCGCCTTCGTCATCGCGATCTCGACGACGTTCGCGTGCCTCCGCAGAACTCGTCGAGCAGGTTACCCGGTCGACCTGGACACCACCAGATGCTCCCGGTCGACCACCAGGTGCCTCCGGTCGACCACCAGGCCCTTCTGGTCGACCACAGCTCCCGTCGAGCTACCCCCTGGTCGACGGACCCCTTCCGTCGACCAGAACTGCTCCGTCGACCTCCCGGTCGAGCTGCAGGTCGACGGGATGCTTCGCGGACCTCCCGGTCGAGCTGCAGGTCGACGGGATGCCCCCCAGTCCTCCCGGTCGAGCTGCAGTTCGACGGGATGCTCCCGAGACCTCCCCGTCAAGCTGTAATTCGACGGGATGCTCCCAAGACCTCCCCGTCGAGCTGTAGGTCGACGGACTGCTCCGTCGACCTCCCGGACGGCCCACCCATCGCCCAGGCCAGTCAGTTGCGCCCGTCGAGCACCCCTGGTCGACGGAAGCTCCACAGTGACATCCTGCAGCTCGACGAAGCCCGTCGAGCAGCTCCTTCACTGCGAACGGTCGGCTGCTTCACCCGTACATCCGACCAAGTCGTCGGCGTTGCCCAAGCGAGGGCGGGGCCAACACTCCATTCCCGTTAACATTCTTACCCTCTCGCATTCATTCTTCTTTTTCTATAACGGTCACTTTCTCCTTCTCCGCGATTTTGTGCAGGTGTGGTGGGAGCACTTCTCAACGGCTCCAATGCTGAC